ATATATATATATGCATATTTTCAAATAGATGTAGTTTGAAATATTCTCCTAAGTCAATATCTTCTATTTTTCTAATTTCCACTGACATTTACTGATGAAAATAGTTTACTTTCATCCTTTAAAAAATCGATTTTTTGAAAATAAATATTCATGGTTTATGAGAAAGCAAGTATTCTAATTGATTTACTTGTGAATATTTGAGATTTCAGTTGATGAGTGGCATAGAGTTAAGCGCAGCTGTATTATGTGCAATTGATGATCGACAGTCGTTGGTGATTTGTTCATCATTTGATCATAAAATCCACGCTTTTGATACCAGAAACAAATTTCAGAAAGTTGCTCAATGTACATTTCATCGTGGCTCTGTTTTTGAGTTAGCCCAACCGGTTGCTTTTTTCTCAATTATTTTATCTTTATTGTTTAGTTTCCCACCATCACCATCCTTTCGATTGTTATTTTGCATGTAACTATAATATCATTTTCGATGCAGCATATCGTAATCTTTCAACTTGATGATTTTATCACTAATATATTTATGCAATGAACACATGTTGCTGTTGTATAACTCGGAACTTTACAGCCAAACTCGCCATATTTATATTCGTGTAGTGCAGATCGAACGGTAGTATGCGCCGATAAGCGTATGTGGAAGTCAGTGCATGATTTGCAGTTGAGTGCATATGCACAGTCGATCTCGTATTGCGATGGACAGTTGCTGTGTGGCACTACGGATGGTAATCTCATCTTAATTGATCCTAATGATCTCACGATTTTAAGCGTTCGTTTGTTTTTCTTTGTTTCGTTTCTTTTCTTAACGATCATTTACTGATTTATGTCACTTAATTCGTCAATAGTTTGTTCGCTAAACGAAATCCTTGTTCAGCCTCATAAGCATTATACTTAAATATCTTTATGAATAGTTGTAATGGCTACTGGTCCTTCGTCCCACTTATAAATAATTATAATGGCTATTGGTCGTTGTTTGATTCAATTTTTTAAAACTATTATGGGATTCTGATTCTTTTTTTATACGCTTTTTCGTGCTTGTCCATCAAATTGACTCTTATCGTATAATATTTTTCTATCCTGATGAATTATTTTAGAAAATGGAAGTAGCGAATATTAGTCATATACATCAGGTGAAATTGAACAAGGGTAGCCAAATGTGTCTCATGAGAACACCGCATTTCAATATTTTTACACCTGGTTTGAAGCCATCGTTGATGGCGCGATCAGGTACACTAGATGCTGAACCCGCTAGGGTATGGTAGTAAAGTTTATTCGAGATTGCAATTACTCACTTTGCGATTTTTTTGGTTTAATTTGAAATTCTACTAAATTTTCTATAATTTCTTGTCCTTTGCTTAAATTGAAATTTGAAGAAGGGAGAAAATATGCATGTTTCCTCGTTAAAATTAACAAAATTGTCTTCAGTTCGACTACTTCGGTGGTGATCTCGCAATAACGTGTGGTGGTGGCTCTGTACTATTCTGGACCAAGTGATTGTTGACATTGCAGTATTGTTAAATCTCGTTCGTTTGATAAGAAAAAATTGAGTTTGAATTTAGTTCCGTTGAAATGAATGAATTCTGCTAATAATCCACGGTAAAGTTACGTTCGTTCTACCAAAACCAAATTGATCACATAGTGCGTGTATGTGTATGTGTAATATAAAAATATTAATTGCTGATTTCACCAAAAATTGATGAACAATTCATTTCAGTTGATCGTCTTCATTCGGCGTAAGCAAAAGTATTACGAGTAATTGAGTGCTTCGTAAGTTATGCATGTGACTTGTTCTTGTTTTTGAATTGGATGTATTTTGAAACTAACTGCTGATCGCTTCGAATTTAGACCTACTTCTCATCTTCTGTTCAATATTTGCTTATTATCAAGAGTGAATCTTTCCTGTGTTTCCTCTTTTTTCACGTTGCGATATCTTCTAATACACCAATTGTATTCGACGAATAATCAATCATTAGCACTCGTTCTAAATCTTATTTCGATTAGCTGACGATATTATCATGTGATCGATGCTATGTTTTTTATATTCATAAGAGCTGTTGAATCTTCTTTGTAANTCCTGTGTTTCCTCTTTTTTTCACATTGCGATATCTTCTAATACGCCAATTGTATTCGACGAATAATCAATCATTAGCAGTCGTTCTAAATCTTATTTCGATTAGTTGACGATATTATCATGTGATCGATGCTATGTTTTTATATTCATAAGAGCTGTTGAATCTTCTTTGTAATTATAATAATTCAGATGTCGTTGAGATCGAATCGTACATTCTTTGACTCATTTTATTTCAGCTGTACTTGTAATTAGTTAAATATATTGAATAAAACATTCGAAAAAACATAGTATAGAGACAGGTAAATGAACGGTTGATGAACCGTACACAACAGGACATATATGTTGATTGGCGTTCGTTATTGATCACTGCAGATATTGTCGCATTCGTTGATACCGTTTATCGTCAAAATTGCCTTGATGTGTAGCGTTCGTTTTCTGAAATCACTTCTTTTTTACTGTTGTCTATTGTTATTATTATCTTTGTCGTTATTATCACTAGCACCATGAACAGATCTTTTAAGGAAGTTTATGATTATTTCGATATCATTCATCACTGTAACTAAGGGATGATTTAATTCATGTGACTTTTTAGCCATTGATTGTTTTATAGAACGATGTGCAATTGCCGTTAAATTTGTTCAGCTCATCTACATTTCCTCTTATTATTAGCATTATCGTCATCATTATTGGTATAAACCAGTGGCTGTCAACGTTTTTACCACGCCGCATTCCCTTGAATATTTTAGGATATCCTCGCATCCACTACACAACAGTAGTAAAAATGTGCTCGCACTCCTCACAACATCCCCTCTTCATCGGTCATCCACTATAGAGAGTGTCTGTAATAGTGATTGCAACCGACGGTCCGTCAAAAAAAATCCGACAATTTCGGTCGGAATTCCGACCGTCAGAATGGCGAAATTTCATGTGGGTCGGATTCCAGTCGACATGAAATTTCTCTCGGATGCCATCACTAGTCAGATAAGTGTATACCATTACAGTACATTCTAGTCTTTTCAAAAATATATTGATCCTCGCTTACTTTATACATACGTATGCGTTGCACTCCGTCCTGGCCTACTAAAAAAATAAAACCATATCTCGCACCCTGGTACAAACGAATCAAAGAAGAGTAAAAAAAAAAACGATAAAATGAATACTTCTTAATGCGTCTTCGTTGATTAGTCATATGTCTCTTTTTGGAAAGATCGTCTCTGAACATCCGTGGACGTCTTTCGAACGCAAAGAAGAACATATAACGATCACGACGATGCATCCAGGCACGTATCCAATAGCAGTGCTCATCTTTGAGCGTTGATCGACCACCTCGATAGCCGTCATATGTGCACTGTCCGCCTTCGCTCATTCGACATCCGTATACGCGTACTCTTTAATTTCACAACTTTTCATTCCATTAAAGTTGCTCGATTTAATTCAAACCACAAGTCAGTCATCAATTTTTCTACGTGATCAGATTAAAGCGCAAATGCTTTTGCCTCATGCAACATTCTCGTCTCTCTGAAGTATGTTCATATGCAACGAGCAAAGGCAAGCTTCTATGTTTATCTAGTTGAGTGCTTATCGTTCACTGAATTAATTGTTTCACTCAAAGACACTAAATCCACAATTATGGTTATTATTATTATTTGCTCATTCATAAACGTAAATGTTATGCACTAATCAGTTATTTAAATAATGAATTCTTTAACGCTAGCCAATGAAATTAGTGTTTAATGTTGATACTTCACATTTTTGCACCCGAAACAATCATTTACAATTTGAGAAATCGAAAGTGGTTTATCAAATCGTTTCTAATGATTTAAAACCTTCGTATGTGCCGATCGATATAAATTCTCACGCTGATTAAAACAATGTATGCAGAGCACAGAATCCTATAGATAAATTGTCAGATGAAGAAATCATGCTGAATGATCCTTAGCTAGATTAGTACGCATATTGTATGTTCACAGATATTGTATGATACATAAAGTAAACAGTATCCTACTAATAATTTATAACTCAAGTTCACGTGTTCAGTGAGAAAAATATCATCAAGATAAGTTATGCTTGGATTCTTGATTTCTAGTTGGTGACTCATCGGAAATGTGATGTTGGTAGTATTACGAATAATTGAATTAATCTCAGTATACTGAGAAATCAAATTTGAAATTACACTCAAAATAACAGTAATGGGCGCAATAACAGTGGTAAAATGTGAAGTTGACGATAAGCATACTACTTTCTGTGAAAAACACGCTGTTTACTTTTGTTGTATTATATTAAATACTTTTGCGCAACATAAAATGTAATATTCAAATATTAAGTTAGCGAAGGTTTTTAGTGAGTTGCGTATGCTAAGCCACATGTACTTATGTAATAGCGAAGCAATACTTTTAAAATCTGAACATACTTTTAAGTCTGACTATCCTAATATATTCACTGAAGATGATCAATATGAAGAAACTGTTTTTGATATGTTTTTGAGTAAACCTGTTGTTGATTCTTGTTGCTTATTAACTTCTTAAGCGATATAATCCGATTCACGTTCAATTTCTTGTAGTAAGGTTGTATTAATTGTGTTGATTAGTTTATTTGTTACTGCTTATTTCTTGTTTCTGTTGCTTCTTTCAAAAGTGCATCTATCATTGGTCTGAATTTAATTTCTTTCTTGCTAATTGGAGCAATCAATCGAAATTTTTCTATTTTTTTAGCACTCCGTTCCAGTTCTATTATTTTAGATCATTTCCGAACGAATTATTTCAAGAATTTATTTAGAAATTTTGGGGTGAATTTGAAGTTTTGAAATACCGCTGTCATCTCTAGAAATTCACAGTAACCCTTATAAATTGCATTGATATGTATACAATCCGTAAACAATGGAGTATCGATACGCTTTTAGTTTATTTCGAATAATTTTGTTTTTTTTTAAAAATATTTTTATTATCCTCTCACGTCAAATTTCTAGAACTTAACACTGTTTTTTGTTCGAATCAAAACAAGCCTACAGTGCGATATATTTATATTTAATCGGCAATTACAACTCATTACGAGTTTAGGCCTTTCCTACATCATCAATACCAAATTCTTCCTTTCTTGACATCCTTCTCTCCGTGCAGCTAACGATATCAGGGTAGGGAATCATCCGGCTTCATGAATTTCTAATTTCGATTATTCTTAAAGGTACTCTCCTATATTGCCCAATGATTTGTAGGGAGAGGGACTCGAAATGAACCAAAAAGACACTCCGCTCGATCGTTGCTTAGAGTAATTGTTTGAAACAACCAACAGTAGTAAACCATTAATCTTCCGGAATCAATAATAAACAATAATTTCAACCGGATAGTTCCATAGCGATCGGGATATGAAACGTTCCACAACTAGCAGTAAGTAATAATGAGTGCCCGTTGCCATAAATACTTTGCATAATTAGCTGAATAGCAATCCAGTAAGCAATGTGTTGATCGCCTAGCTCGATCAGCAGACCAGCCGCTCAGTCTCCGAATAAGG